ATTTATAAGTCAGTAAAAATAGAAGACAAAATCATTCAACTCATCTGAAAATAATAATAAAAATAAATGTAAATATAAGTACTTTTTGCAATTGACTAATAACTTAACAAAAGTTTTGTAAGTAAGTGTGTAACATATACATGCAAAAATATAATAAAGAAAATCAGGAAATTAATTAAAAATCAACAAAATGTCAAGGATTTTTAAAGTACTACAAAAATTATGTACTTATTACCGTTATGTAAGCATATTATTATATAAATATGCATACACATGAATGTAAGTATCATCATATCGTTACGATTTATATTGCGTATTATATAATCAACTTTAGATAATAAGAAAAGTAATTAGTGCTCTCACCGAATTATGTAAAAATAAAAAATTAGTCAACACATATTCCAATAAGAATTATAAACTTAACAAGTGGAAATTTGTCGGATGTTGGGAATTTTAAAGAAAAATTCATTTAATAATATTTCCTGTTTCCAATTTTTTGACTTTATTTTTGAATTATTTTTCAATAGAGTGTTTTTCTTGACATTTTAAAAATTTAGAGCACTTATAGGAACCATAGATTCCAAAGAATTTCGAAATATTGTAAAATTATGTAGGGTAAATAATAATGTACACATACATAGCTCCTTTTTAAAATATGTTTGATCTTTAATATCTTTTAGAAATATTTTCGATTCGCAAATAAACGAGTTAAAACTGCAAATATAAAAGCTAATATAGAATTTTTAACGATACGAGAGTAAGCTTACGTTATATTTGTACGTAGATTAACACGGAACATTACTTCCACCTACACAATATAATATGTACATTATATCGTTATATATGTATACATAGGTACTCGCAATATAAAATATGAAATGCGTTTCATATTAAAATTTCAAATGTTATGGTTATTAAATTTTCCAATTATACTTATTATGCATATAAACATAGATACATATACATAAATATTTATGTATGTATTGTAATCTCAAAAGAAAATATTATTTCTCTTCATGCATACACATACTTATATACAATAAAATAAAAAGTATGTGCTGTTAACCTTTATAGCCTCAATTATTATGTAAATGTCAAAAATGAATTCAAAATATTTACAAACATTTTTTTTTTTATCCTCTGTTTTTCTTTAATAAGAAAACCAATAATGTATATTTTTATATAAATACAGTAAAAATGTTTATAAACACTATATTCCGTATAATATTAAGTACATACATACATTATTTTTTTTTTTTTTTGGTATAATATTAAAATGAAAAATTTTCTTATAAATGGAAATTTCGTTTTTATTTTTTATTTCTTATTTTTTATTACACATGTATATTATATTTTTCACAATCTTACATAGGGGGAAGAGACTGATTATATTTAGTATATTTTGTGTATTATATGAAGTGAATGTGTTAAATTTTTATTCTCCATGGGGAATTAAATGTAACGTAACGAAATAATAAATGCCTGTAGGGATATTAAAGTAAACTACTAATATGGATTCACAAGAGGATACTTTAAATTTATAATATATATATATATATATATATATATATATATATATGTATTTGTGTATGTGTATATTAAAGAAGGATGTGTATAATTTTGAAGTGCGTTACGTTTTATTTTATATACGCGTATTTCTCAATATTTTGTATAAATTATGGTAATTGTAGCAATTCTCTGTATACATATGTGGCAATATTATTATTAGGCATGAGTAATCTGATGGCAAAGGCCTGTTGCAAAACAGTTTTTGCCACTTGTCGATTTTTACGAAAAACAGTATTTAATCTAACCTGGGAAGCCTTTTTGATGGTTTCATTTACTTTCAAACTTTCCTTGATAAATAAAATTAATAAAATAATCCAATTATCGGGTTTTGAATGCATTTCTTAAAGATAATCAAATGAAATGTCAATAAATTTTCGGCATCATTTCGTAAATTTTCGGGATAAACATTGATTTTTTTATTTAAAAGGCGATTTACATATACTAAAATTTACATATTTTCCTCTATTTCAATCGGGCCCTTAGTTTTCTTAGAACTAAACAGTTCTATGGTATTTAAATATGCATATTTATAATACACATCTGTATATAAACAAATTTTAAATTGAACATAATGATTTACGGATGTGGTTATTCACTAGCAATTAGTGCTGATTCAGTCAACTTATTGTTTAAGTTCAGGAAAATTATTGTAAAAATTTATAAAATACATATTTGTATTGGTAATTATTATTATTATACATGTACATATTATATTTTTAATTAAAAATAAAATAAAATTTTAAATATTTTCACAATAATTATAAAAATAAGAAAAAAAAAAATTAAAAAAGAACAATAAAAGAAGAGAAAAGAGAAACGAAGACCATTAAAATTATGATTATTTTTTTTTCTTTTTTTCAAATTCATTAATCCAAGTTAAATAATTATTTTGTATTGAAAAAAAAAACCTATTTTTTTTCCTATTTTAATGATGGGATTATGAGGGAAAAATGGACATTAACAAAACTAAAAAAAAAAACTAATTAATTTCTAACCCCTTACAATTATATGCATAATTCAAACCTTAATTTAAATACATGAGAATTAAAAAATTATAAATGTAGGTACCTCATGTGTATGTGCATAATGTGTGTTATGTTCATGACTAATCATATGTAGGTATATTATAAAAGCCGATAATACAGTAATAGGGGGTTTACTTCATTTGGTATAAGCATAAAATAATCAAAGAAATTGACACCGTGTTAATACTGAAATAAAATTTTATTAGCTTTTTTATTTGACTAGCTCTGATTAGACTCCTTGGGCCTTCTGTTGTAGCAATTCCAAAAAATACAGTCCAGTACGGAAATAGCGGAGCTTTCAATTTGCAGTTCGAATAATCCAATTTTATTTATATTTGCTTAGTATTGCATTCTAAACCAATAAAGCTATATCTGCTCTCCATTTTATAACTGAAAAACTAATAGAGCTTGAACTGAGCAATAACTTAAAAAATAACTGCGGTAAATTTTATAAAATTTTTACAATTTGTTATAGAAAATACCGGAATCCTATTGTAAAATTTTCAGAGTTATTTAACCTAAAATAAGTAATTAAGTCCCATGAATCCTTATGATAGATGTCATTCAATTACAATTAGGTATACTATTTTAGAATAGGCGTATTGAAGTTGTAAGGCCAAAGTTTAGCACGATCTATTCTATAAAATATAATAAGTAAATTACCAATAATATTCGATTTTTTTTCGGAAGAAATAAGACATTCAATGGGACACCCGGCGGAAATATACGTTATGTATATCTATTGTTGAATATATATATAAAAATATTATAATTTTCAATTAAGCATAAGGTAAAATTAAAATATTTTTTTTTTATATTATAAAGATTAAAATTTATTCAAAATACATTAAAATAGAGAAAAAAAGGTGGTAGTTGTTAATATTAGAAAAATGATAATGGTTATTGTTGAATGAGGGTAGGAGAGGGAGTGGGGCAAAACTTTTTTATATTAAATATTCTTGGATTTTTTTTTTTTCATTAATAATTTTCTGTTTCTTTCTATTTTTTTTTCCGAATGAATTAGGGTACACTTTGATTTCTTTTTATAACCTTGAATTTATAATCACCAGGTGGTGGTATTGTTATTCATATATGCATATATATGTACATATACTTTAAACATGTATGAATATGTATTTATAATATTGATAATAAGTTAAGTTTTTGTAATATAGTTCAAGGGAGAAAGAAAGAAAGTAAAAAATAAACGACAATAACCATTTTCTTTTTTCTGTACACATTATTATTTTGTTTTTTTTTTTATATTAAAAAATAAAAATTACCTGACCTTCTTGGATTTTAAATTAAAAATTTTTTCTATAAGATTGCCCTATAAATTTAATAAGAATGAAATTTAATGAGAAAAATTAGGGTTCCAATGAAGCTAATATTAAAATGTGACTTTTATACATAAAGTAGCTTTATAATATTTTCGAAATTGAATAATTTTGTACTTTTATATTTTCTATTTTATGTACGTACTTTGGTTCTTTATAATATAGAGGTTAATTTAAATCAGTTAACATGTTTTTGTAGTCAATGTCACACGGGTTGTGTTTTACTGTGTTACTTGCTATAAATGAATTAGAATTCTTTTTACTATACTTTTACTACTATACTACGTGCAGTCGCAATATAAAATGGTTGATATAATTGAAAAAAATAACTCTGAATATTACGAGTATAAATTCAATGATATTGAATAAATTTCGCAATTTATAGAATATTAGTCTTAAAAAATTAATGAGAAAATGTAATTCTTAAAATGGTTATATGTCAGAGTTTATAGTTATTATCCTATTAAATTTTGTTTTGTATTTAATTTTTTTTTTTATGGAAAATAACGGATTAAGTTGTTGTCAAGTTCTTGTATACCAACATACATTTACATATTTCTTGTGATTTTAAACAATTGAATGCCGAAATTTTCAAATAAGGGGTTTTTATTTGCTTCTTTGTACGGGATCTGTAAAACACGAACGAAGACATTTTCGCCACAAAAAAAAATAAAATTTCGCAAATAAAAAATAAAAAAAAAATAGGTTTTAAACTTTTGTTTTGTTGTCGAAATTCGAAAACGGTTACAAGTATCTAACCTATAAAATTCGAAAGACATCTATTGGAAAAAAATATAAATAGAATTTTGTAAATGCTGCCAGTGTTACATTATTTTCGTATCACCAGTCTAATACAGGGTGGCGCAAAAAGAACGATATGTTTTGAATTTTTGATAACTTTTTTATTTATTAATTTTTTTTTTTTATTTCAGAATCTTGTAAACAAGGCTTGGCAAATTTATAATGGGGGAGTACACAACGCAGCAACGAACAAAAATCATAGAATTTTACTATCAAAATCACAGGTCAATGTGTTTCAATGTGTGCCTGGTAAGACATTTTGAAGAAAATGAATAATGGAAATGGAATTACAATAAACCGCCTGGTAAGACATTTTGAAGAAAATGGATCAGTAAGAAACGTACAAATTCGTGGAAGACCGCGTACGGTCCCAACGGAGGAAAATGTTGAACGTGTAGTCAACAGTGTAGATGAGAATCCAGGAACATCAACACGGAGATGTTCGACACAGCTGGGACTATCACGAAGATCCCTTCAGAGAATTTTGGCCTCAATACGCATGTTCCCATATAAAATTCAGCTTGTGCAAGAGTTGAAGCCGATAGACTATCAACAAAGGCTTGATTATGCCATTTCTTTCCAACAAAAAGCAGAACAAAGTCCAAATTTCATACACAATTTGATAATGAGCGATGAAGCTCACTTCCAATTAAATGGTTTTGTTTATAAGCAAAACTGCAGAATATGGGCGACGGAGAACCCACGAGCAGTACATCAGCGCCAATTACACCCACTTAAATGTACTGTTTGGTACGGTATATCGTCCGAAAGGATAATTCGCCCATATTTCTTTGCAGATGGACATGACGACGCAGTTATCGTTAATGGCACTATGTATAGAACTATGCTGGAAAACGTTTTGAGGCCATCAGGGCAAAACCATCCACAGTTGTGGTTTCAGCAAGATGGAGCCACTGCTCATACTGCAAGGGAGACAATGGCTATTTTATGGGACATTTTTGGTGATCGCATTATTTCGCGCAGAAGTGTTTTTAGTTGGCCTCCGCGTTCACCAGATTTAACAGCACCAGGGTCTTTGGGGTTATTTAAAAGAAAAGGTGTACGTAAATAAACATCAGACCATAAACGAGCTAAAAAACAACATTCGTGATGAGATCAGAGCCATTACGCCTGATATATTGCGAAAAGTGATGGAACATGTGCTGGAAAGAGCACGAATTGTATAATACAAAATTTATGTATAGATGTGATGCGATAAAGTTTTGTGTTGTGATGATTTTGATACTTGCATAATATGGCTAGAAACATTTTATATATTTTTTATGTCAAATCGATAATTTTGAATTGATAGCTTGATACACAAGCATACAATAACTGTTTTTATCTAGCTCTGTTGTTGATTTATTTTTACTGACTGAAGGTGTTGCTCTCATTAAAGTGAATAAGTATACGAACTCTTAAATTATTGATAATGAAATCCGTTATATACGATCGGAGAATATTTTTGAAAGCATGTATACTAACTATATAAAATATTCCTATTGTATACTATAAAAAATTTTAATGTATATGTGTGTATATTATTACTCCCTTATCCGCTGTATAATTATTCTCTTGTATATTCCTCTAGTTATATAAGTATACTTGTTTATTTTGATTGATATTTTTTTTTACCTCGAAATCCTACAGGATTACACTATAAACACTTTAAAAGCAATTATGTTCAATATTCCAATATTATTTTTAAAATAAAAATATAAAATTCAATATGGTATACAAGTATACAGAAATGATATAATGTACAAACATTTTGTACAATCAATTTTCACCATAATTAGCTTTTATATAATTGGCTGAAAAAGATTAAATCTTAAAAATATTTTTATGTCTTGTTTTTTCAATTGGAAAATAGATCCTTATGATATCGATTGTTATAATTATATTGATTGTCGTCATATCAAAAAAATATCATTGAACTTAATTCGAATTTATTTTTTTTTTTAAATTTTTAATTTAATTGAAGTGATGTAATAAAATACAATTGTTTTATTATTATTGCATATTTTAATTATTTTAATTTATTTTAATGAGAAATCGGATATATTGTATATGTGAAAATGTTAATAAATTTTCAATTTGTTCTCTGAAGTATTAAAAAAATACTTGAATAAAAAATATTTTTCTTTTATGTCATTTTTGATATAATGTGAATGTGTTTTTGTATGTATTTATTGTGTGTGTGTTGATAGTGGTTTATAGTTATAAAAGATTGGTAAATGATTTTTTCATTGTATAGAATGGGATATGTTTGTTTCGCTTGGATATGGTCGTTTACTCGGTTTGGGTTCTGTAAAATGTATATATATATGTATATATAAAAATTTATTTGATAAAAATCAATAAAAATTTGGGATCTTTTTAATTTTTTATTATTTCGGCGGCATTTTTACAAATTGCCCATAATAAATAGTTTAATCGAAAAAAAAAATTTTTCCGTGAAATTTTTAAAATATTTTTTAATACCCCAACTATAATCTTATTAAAACCAGAACGAATAGAATTAATAAACTGGTTCCCACATCTATTGTTTTATTACTATTATACTAATGTATATAAACATGCGTATTTAAATTTTTGTATGTACAAACAGTGGAACATGTTGCACCACATCATAATAAATTATTCTTTAAATACAAATGATATGAGCTGTTATTCTATAAGCCAATCTCAAGAAACAGGCTTCCAATATCTATGGTTGTATGGGGACTATTTTCTTTAAGGATTATGTGCAGCCACTGATTAAAGTTTAATATCGTTGACAGATCAAAAGCCAAAATTTTTCATATTATCCGCATAATACGACTAAGTAAGTAAATTAAAAATTTCCCGATGTTGGGCGTCAAGAGAATGGTTTTTTTAAGAATTTCTGTTCGAATTAAAAAAAGATGCTTTTAATATTCCTAATAAACATTAAAATTTCGAAATTTTTATGAACAAAATACACCAATAAATATCGGTTCCAGTCAAAAATCTAAAATCCAAAAGTTTAAATTTGAATTAATTGAAATTATTTAAAAGCACATTGTACTAAAAGAATTTCCTTAACTGTATATTCAAAATTCGAAATAAGAAAGTATATGAGTTCATAGTTGAGTTGGTATATGGATTGATTATTTTATGGAATCAATAAAAATCAACTTTTCATAATTTCATATTTCCTTTTATCGTAAAAGAAAGACTTTTTCATTTAATTTCTTTTTTTTTTTTTAATGTCATTTGATGCATCCATCATCACCGCGGGTTTTTTTTTTAATTGTCAGCTCAAAGTATAGTTGGATGGAATCAAAACTAAAAAAAAAAAAAATTTTTTTTATTGCGCACATAAAGGAAATTATATTAGGAATTGAAATTAAAGCGTTACAGGAGTATAGGGGAGGAAAAAATTTTTTTATAATAATAATGATAATATAACAGACACAGCGGACTCTTGTGACTTTTCTAATATTTTTTAATAATTTATAATTTTTTGTTTGTTTTTCATTTTTTTTTTTGCTTTTTATTTTGGAGACTCAAAGGTCTAATAGTAATAGCAATAATTTTAACAGCTTAAGTATGTGGATATTGTGTATTGCATTATGTCGGCCTCTTAAATATTATTTCAATAATAAAATCTGGTTTATGTCTAATAGATTTAATAGATAATTTTATTGGAATATTGTGAATTAATAAAAAAAAATTACTATAAGTAAGTATGTGTATGTGTATGTATTGAATACAATTTGTATAATTGTGTATTCAATCCAATAATAAGCTGTTGAGATAGAAAGCATGTAGAGTCGTTGTTTTTAATTTTAACAATTACTTTTTTTTTAATTTTTTTAATATTTTTTCATTTATATGTATTAATGCTTATGTTTGTATGTCTACATACATTATAATGTATAGAAAAATTTTTGTTTTTTATTTACTACTTTTCTGTTTAGTTTTTTTTTTATAATTACTTTTTTATAATGTATAGAGACTAGAAAAAAAGAAAATTTGAGCACCATTTTTTCTCCTCCACCGCTATGTACAATTATTTATTTAAAGCATATACAAAAAAAAATCATTATGATTTTTTTGTGTGCAGCAGACATCATAATCATCGCGTCATCATAAAATTTATTGATTGAAATGTGAAAGTAATAAACAAATTCTATATAAGTACAGTATGCTTATGAAAAGTGAGAATAAAATTGAGTACTTACACAAAAGATGTACAAAGGAATTGAGTGTATAAGTCGAATCGTATAAGTAATGGAGGCGGTAGCGGTAAATCTCACTATGAATACACATTATGTTTAATATTAAATGATAGTGCAGGGAACGGATAATTGGTTAATAATAAAACTTTACGAATTTAAATTAATCTTTTACAACATACTGGCTCAACTTCTCATTTGTTGCAATATTTTGTAATGGTTAACTGGATTATGATATACAAATATTCTGTCATTCTCAAATTAAACGGGTAATCATCATCATCATTACTGGTTAGAAAACCCTGGTCGGGGTCTTCGCCTCCTTGGAATTTATACGTCCATAAGGACCGGTCTTATGATTGATGTTCTCCAGTTTGTTATTTCTATTGAGCGAGCATCTCTTTCTGTGTTGTCTATTTATCTTAAATTGGGACGGCCAATTTTTTGTTTCAGATCACTCCTACCAAAAAGTATTTCTTTTACAGATTTTAATTAATGTTATAATATCGAGATGTTAGTAGAGCTCTTGATTAAACAGGTATTGTCAAACATGTATCCTAATGTATCCTAATAAGTGGGGGGAGTCTGTAATTAGTTGATGAATAAAATCTATTATCATTACTTATCTTTGTTATTATAACTACATAAGATCTGTAATGACTTATTCTATATGAAAGGAAAATTTATACACCGATCAACGTTTAATCACGAGGAAGAGGGTATAGAAAACACTTTTGGGCAGTGCTGTTAAAACTTATACCAAGGAAAAACGTCCAAACCTCTTATATCAGACGTGGTCATGTACAGGCACTATAGTTTGTAAGTTTTAACTTTGATTTATATATAATATCGGCACTTTTGGAACATAGCTTCCGTTCTTTAACATTTTAAACACTTTGTCTGTTTTTATTAATATCGATAGTTTGTACTCATATGTGAACATCATGTATGTTTGTGTGCTACAATTTAATTTGTTTGTATATTTATTAATGGATTGTTTTTTTTTTTGGTTCTGAAATTATTCATGACTATATTGTTTAATTTTTCTAATGGGGGCCATTCGCTACAATAAAACACTTATTAATATTATTTGTACATATGTGAATGTACAAGTATAAATAAAATTTCTATAATATGAGGTTAATGATTTTTTTTTTTAGACATTGGTGAAATGAAAATTAAGTTCGAATGAACAAAATCATATGAAATTGTGTGTGGTGAATGATGAGCAATGAGCTAAATATCACGAAAATTTGGTTAGTAAAGCCAAGAGTTTTTTTTTTATTTAATGGGAAGCGGATCATTTCGAAAAGTATGAAAGTTATTAATGTAAAATGAGATTTTAATATTTTTCGGCTGTATAGTCTGACAGAAAAAAAAAAATTTGTGGTAAAACAAATAATGTTCATTTATTTGTTTGTTTTTTAGGTAGTTTTTTTTATTGGACTTTTTTTTTTAAATATAAAGTTAATTAACTCAAAAACGAAACTTTCGAATTTAATCGGAATATTGAAATAGATTTGTTTTTGGTCTATAAGTTTAGAAAAAAGTACAAATACTAGGTACATGGGGACAAATGATCATTTACCGAGTTAGATCAAACATCATTTTATGGAACACAGATGGGCCAAATAAACGGGTTCGTTGGAAGCGAGTAAGTCGGATAGTTAAACTGCCATTAGTCTGCTGAATTGATTTTCAATTGATCATTCGAAGCAGCGCGGCATTGTCTTGATGGGTTCAAGGAAATTGAGTAAGGGCAATCGGGTCATTATAAGCCAGCAATATTAAAGCCAGCAAAATGTAGGCATGTAAGAAATGAGATGACCAACGCTTTGAGGAGGAAGGGAACTACCCTACATTTCCTCGA